AGAAATCTTCGATACTCTTACAATATTTAAATTTTTTGATGGGAGTATGATGATTCAATTTGAATTTTAAGAGGCTAAAGATATGAAAAATTTCACCAATGAACTTGCGACGTAGGTAGCTCCTATCTAGTTTTTCTCAAATAGATTTTTCCCCTTATCATCGAATAGGCCCTTTTTTAATTTTTTTACAATTTTTTATAGGATTATGCACACGATTTGAGAAAAAGAAATAATTTACTCTCCTGAAATTAAAAAAAATATTGCTAAAGTCAAAGGTTTTGTCGCTAAGGGTGAGGCGTTGTGAAAATGACTTCCGCAAGTAGAAAAGAAATCTTCGATACTCTTACAATATTTAAATTTCTTAATGGGAATATGATGATTCAATTTGAATTTTAAGAGGCTAAAGATATGAAAAATTTCACTAATGAACTTGCGACGTAGGTAACTCTAGTTTTTCTCAAATAGATTTTTTCCGTTATTATCGAATTGATAAAATTTTAGACATAATTTGTAAGTTTTCCAAACCGGATGACAAATATCAAATTCTTAAATGTGTAAAAATCTATAATTTTTAAAACTGGATTTACTATTAAACATCTACATCTATTACTGCAGCAAAACTGAAGGTAACCAAAAATCGAATCCCTCTAACTGTTTACAATCCTTAACTGTGCTAAATATACTATGCTATGATATATAATTTATAATACTGAATTCGATATAAAAATTCTATATCTATTACAGCAGCAAAACGAACGTTAAACAAAAATCCAATTCCTCCAACTTTTGATATCTTTAAATGTGCTATAATCTATAATTTTTAATACTGGATTTAATCTTAAAAATCTCTATCTAATAGAGCAGCAAAATTGACGGTAAAAAAATCGAATTTCTCTAAATATTATTAATCTGCTATGATATATGAATTCATTATTAAAAATCTGCATCTTTTAGTGCAGCAAAATTGACGGTAAACAAAAATCAAATTCCTCCTCTTCTTCTTAAAATTCCATCATCTATCGAAGGTTGGAAACCATCATGGCAATGCGGACCCTGTTGACAGCCGCTCTAAACAGCTCGGTGCTGCTACATCCGAACCAATCCCTCAGATTTCTCAGCCAGGATATTTTTCGCCTTCCGACACTTCTTTTTCCTCGGATTTTTCCCTGAATAATTAGTTGTATCAAGCCATATCTCGGGCCCCTCATTAGACGTCCCATATATTCAAGTTTTCGTTTTTTGATTGTCACCAGAATTTTCGGTTCACATCCCATCCTTCTGTGCACCTCAGCATTTGAGATGCTTTCCGTCCACGATATCCTCAGGATCCTTCTGTAACACCAGAGCTCAAGTGCGACCAGTTTATTTATATGCACCTGCTTCAGCGTCCATGCTTCCATACCATACAAAAGGACAGAGTCAAACTTATGTATCTGTTGGTGAAGAACTTTCCGAGCCTGACAAACGCTGTTCGTGCTGCTTCAATTCGGGTTTTTATTTCCTTGGTGTGGTCAATGCCCGAGGTCATCCACGTTCCCAAGTATTTGTATGAGTCCACTCTTTCGATGGTGGTGATTTAGTGGCGACCATAATTTTTGTTTTGTTAAGGTTGATCTTTAACCTGCAAATCGTCGATGGGCGAATCGAAAGTTGTTGAGAACTTCTCTGAGCAATCATCCAACGCTTTCCGGAATATGGCCTCACTATAGACATTAAAGAGCAATGGCGACAGAACATAGCCCTGTCGTACGCCCCTCAGTATTTGGATGTCCTCGGTATATTGATCGTCTAACCTGGCCCTTGCTGTTTGGTTCCAATACAGTGTTGATATTATATTGATGTCGCTCTTGTCAATGTTTTTAGCCATTAGAATTTCTATTAGTTTTTCATGTTTCACCTTATCGAAGGCTTTCTCGAAATCAATGAACCCCAGGTATATATCTTGGTTCATATCGAGACATCTCCTCTGTTGTACCAAATCCATTTCTAAAACCAAACTGGGTGTTACTCATATCCGTTTCAAGGGTTCTGAAAATACGATTGTGAATAATTTTAAGGAACATCTTTAGTGTATGACTCATTAGAGATATGGTTCGATGATCAGCACAAGGTGTGGCGTTTGACTTCTTGGGGATGGCAACGAAGGTCGAATGGAGCCACTGTCTAGGTATTGTGCCCGTCCGACATATGGTGTTAAACAGGTCAGTCAAGACATCAATTACATCTTCATCAATGAGTTTTATTAATTCGATTGGGATTTCATCCGGATCCGCAGCCTTGCCTCCTTTTGTATTTTTTATTGCATGTATAATCTTCCTCTAAATATTTATAATTCAATATAAAAAATCTATATTCATTAGAGCAGCAAAAAGAAAGTCTTACCAAAATTGAATTCCTCCAAATTTTGTAATCCTTAACTCTGCTACAATCTCCAATTATTAATACGATACGAACCTTATACAAAAATCCTATTCCTCCAAATTTTGTAATCCTTAACTCTGCTATAACCTCCGACTATTAATACTGGATTCAATATAAAAATCCTACAATCTATTACAGCAGCAATTCAACATAAAAAATCTACATCTATTACAGCAGCAAAATTATATTACTGTATTATATATTATATACTAAATATTAATAAGTAATAAGTAATACTGGATTTAATATTAAAGATCTGCATCTATTACAGATTAAAACTCGCGATACACAAAAATCGAATTCCTCTAAATATTTACAGTTTTAACTCATCTATCACAAAATCTAAACGAACATTAATAAAAATCCCAATTCTTAACATTCTCCGAATCCAAATCGTAAACATTCTAAATCCACTATAGCAGAAAAATTGCTGAAATCTTCTTAATCTAAAAATTTCGAAATTAAGAAAAAAACAAATTTAAATTTGTGAATAATGGATTCGTTGGATTTAGTAAGAAACACCGCACACAAGTTACGAGGAATTTTCCGGGCTTTATTTTGGTGTTTTCCGGAACACACGAATATCCAACGGGAGACGAAGAGTTTATCCGCGCCCAAAGTTTCGGACTGCCGGGCTCGTGAAAAATTGCGCAAAATGATTTAAAATTTCATTTAACTCGATGGCCTCCTGCGTAAATCTTTCGGAGGTATTTTAATTTAAATCGTCCTAGGGGCGAAAATTGGGGAGTGAGTTTTCCTTTGCCCATTGATTTAAAAGTCTCAGGTTGCGATCTAATTTTTTAAGACTTAAAAAATAGTACAATCAATTAGATTTTGAAAGCCGTATGTATTTTTGTGTGTATATTTAAAATCAGAAATCAACATTTTGTTTTTTCGTATAATTTTTTTTGTATAATTCGGTTTAAATTAGAATTCCCAAGTTTGATTTATACTTATAAAATATAATAAATTAAATTTAACTATAGTTCACCAAAAAAAAGTTTAACGGAGGAGAAATAAAAAAAATTAGCATGTGGAGCTTTCTTTAAAAAAAAAGTTTTATAAGGTCCTGCGACAATATGTTTTAAATAAAACAACGTAACAGGACCGTATTACCAAAAGTCTAAGGGATAATAATGTTGGAGGTTAAATCAAAATAAGTTTCTAAGTTATTGTTTGTGTTTAACAAGGTTTTGAAAAATAAAAATAAGTATAAGTATTTAAAGCATAAAATTTCTATATTTTACGTCGTAATTAGATTACAAAAAATATTGCTTTTGTATTTAGAAGATCGATGGAACGATATTTTTCCAAATCTGTGGTTGTAATTTTTAATTAAAAATAAACCAATCCAAATAAATATGTTTATGTTTTATTATCAAAATAATTTACAAAAGAGTCGAAAATTTCTGTGATGTTCATAAGTACTTTCTCTCAATAATTCCAAAATATAATATCCCAACATGTTCGTTTTTCGAAGCTCTTAATGTCCTGATGAAAACGGTCTGCTCGTTCTTTTGAATACGCTCCTATATTGTTTTTAAACTTAATTAAACGAGCATACAACAATGACATCCTGCAGCCCACAACCTTAAAAATGTTTATCATATTCTCAACCGGCTTTGTTATTTCCTAAAAATCCAAACACTGCTTTAAAACTGCTCCCCGCGTCGGAAATAACTTCGGGAAAAATTTTGTTTTCAGACACATTGTTTCGTTTTTACAGGCCACGGCCGTTGAATATACTCTGCTCTGCTATGCCATAAGCATAGATAACAGGGATGCTTTGAATAACCGCTCTGTAATCCAATTAAAAATCCCACCATCTTAAAATCTCAATCAAAATTTTAACAATTTCATAATTTTCTTTTAGATATACTTAGTGACCGAGTGGAATAGTTGGAAATTTATTTCTGTTGTGTAATGAAACAGCTTTTAAGCTCTTTGTACCAGGTCAGGGTCAAAAACAAAGTCCATCTTATTTTGTGGACAACGTTGAAAATATTTCATGTGTAGCCTGCTGATCCTTGATATATTGACGTAGAGGCTAAAAGCTTTGCTTTACTTTTTCGCAAATTTAAATTAATTTTCAAGTCGTTAAACACTTTTTTAGTGATAAGATGGTGTCTTTGTTGTTCTCGTATAGGTAAAAACTTCTTATCAGGATTACTTTTATTAGGACTGAGAACTACACTTTTCTATACTCTACTTTCTTTTTTTAGATTGTACAAAACACCTGATCATTGTTTATCACTCAAATACCATCTAGCGGCACTATGTGAATGTAAACACCCTACCCTGTATTATTATTATTATAACTACCACAAAAGCAAACTTTATATGAGAAAAAATACATTTCGTTTTTGTTCATAGTTAACCTGAAAATCATAAAATAAGATTTAGGACAAAGAACCAATATTCTTTTGTAGAGGAGTGTCAAATTGTGATATCGGAAATTTCATTATATTTACTATTTTTCAAGTCTCAGAAAAGTATGGCAGTATGTGCGTGCGGCATCGAAAATAGGACATCCGGTACACGGCGTTTTTTAATTTTCACAGACACAAACTTCATTTCAGAAATACAACTTCAGCTGCAAAGGACCCACAGGCATCCGACATGTTGTGGTCCACTCTGAAATGGGTAGTTTTGGGTGTGATCGTGGCCGTGCTAGGCGGAGACGTAGGCAACGCTGCCCCGTCCCCCCGCAGCGAGGACATGTTCAGGGAGCTGATGAAGCTGGATCAGCTGTATTCGTCAGTCGCCAGGCCTAGGTAAAGTAATCCCTCTTTGAAAGATTCACTTTGAGTGAATGGGGTCGAGAATATGTGCGCCTATAATGTGCCCTGTCTTGGTGTGCATCGCCATGTCCGAAAACTATTCGCCATGACGAGCGTTTTTGATCGAATCTAATCAACTACAATGCTAATGCCCGCCTGGTGTTAGGTAGTGTGCGGAGTGTGCCGATGTCGTCCGATGTCGGTCCGAAGGTTCAGAGGGCGTTGAACATGCTCAGGCTACAAGAACTGGACAGGCTGTACGCGGACAGGGCGCGTCCTAGGTGAGCATTTGTACCGTTGCTTAGGTCGAGCAGCCCTTGGCTGAGGCTCGCGAAGCTTGGGGGGATTGTCGCGCAGCTGTGTGACGAAGCTTCCGGTTGTGAATGTTTGTTGCAGCTTTTGACGTGCAAAAAATAAACGAAAACTATCTTTCAGATTCGGAAAGCGCGGCGATGGGGTCGGCCGCAACAACATGATACCCGTTGAGTACGATAACCAGGTGAGATTTAGAGAGTAAGGTATATTTTCACATAAACCTGTAGGCTCTCTACTTGGTCGGGTTACAAACTATATTATCTGATCAAATATTAGTTCCATCAAGCCTCAGGGATTCCATTTGGTCCCTTCTCTTCCAACCCATCTTATACATTTATGATTTTGTTTCTTTTCTGACGATTTGACATTATTAATGAAAATTGTTACTCCCGATAATTGCCTGATCTACAATCGCAGCGTTAACCTTCAAAACTTGACGCGAATAGACCCAATATTAGAGTATTTTCTAGGCCCAACACGATTGCCTATCAGGAAAATACTAGGGCAACGCCAAAATTTCCCGGCCTGAATATGAAAGAAACAAAGTAGAGCAACCATTTTTTTTATTTTTCAATATAATTCCCCCTAACTTATGACTTAAGTGCGGACAAGTACGAGTGACATGGACGCGCGGCCTCTGAAGATGCCAAGTGATATTTTGGCGAAACGTCAGGCGAATGATCCTACTCCAGGGTCAAACAACGAACGGATATATATATATATATATATATATATATATATATATATATATATATATATATATATATATATATATATATATATATATATATATATATATATATATATATATATATATATATATATATATATATATATATATATATATATATATGAAAAAATGAAAATGAAAAAATGTGATGACACTATATTCCGGGATATCATCCGTTAGCTTGATGATCTCCAACAATTTGCTATAACCTCCATAATCTTCCAAGAAATTTAAGCTGAACGTCTTCGATAGTGGTATCAATGAATTAGCTCTAAGATAACTCTTAGAGACCCAAATAGACTGTTAACTAACTAATAACAACTCAGTGTAGAAATAACCTCAAATCAGAAGCAAGGAGGGTTACAGGGACTCGTGGATAGCTCACGTAGATAGCACTGGTATAAAGAGGCAGATAAAATACCAGAAACACCACATTGTGGTCAAGAAAAACACGAAAAGATCATATAGAACGAGATGAAACGTTTGCTGCACAAAATGAGCAATTCTCAAAACTCGCCAGGTGAAAAAACATCGACGTCATTCTTGTTGGAAAATCTTTCGGTTATGTCGAGCGCACTTACACTATCAGAAATTTGTTTTCAACTCATTAGCATAGGCGGTGAGAAAGTAAACTCGGTTCGAGAGGAAAAACGTATCTAATTATATGCCGATCATAAATTAAAACCGACCGGTATTAATCAAACAAAAATCGCGTTCGATCGTTCGAGATAAGTTAATTGCTATGTATGTAAATTTACTGCGAGAAATATTTTCTCATGCCTCCTTGCCATTGATTTGGTTAGTTTGATTATGCATGCGATGTGAGGTGAAAAAATGCAAGGCTTTGTTAGGTTGCAAGTTACTTGGCCTCTGACAGAAGCAAAGCCCTATTGTGACTAATACCGTTATTATGTCTGTCTTCACAACTTTACTTCACAAACTGATTAGGTACTCGTGGTAGCTCCGCATGACAATTACTGAGCATACTCCACACAAGACAAGTACAAAACTCCAAGTCATTCGTTTGTATTAAGCAATAGGACCGGCGGATACTGATAATGCATCCAAATACATCAAAAAGAACATAGAAACGGGAAATTAATATGCATAGCAAAGTTCTCGCAAAAGACGAGTTTTAGTTTACGATTAACACTTTCTTTAGAGCGTCATAGCATCTAACGAACTTGGGGAGTCGGAATCCCACAGGTAAAATATCATCTATAGATAATGTGAAATTTAAACACCCTACAGGATGTGGTGGCCTCCGGGATTGATCCTGCGAGGGTAGTTTTCATCAATCAAAACTTTCCTGCCAACGTGCATACAAACAAAAACCATCCCCGTCGAGTTATACTCTCAACCAGTTAAAGTTTTCGCCGTCGAAGACGGAAGTTCTCATTTCCAGAAATATAAACTAAATATATATGTACAAATCAAATACAAAAGTTGTTTCTATTAAAATGACCTTTGTATTTGATTTTATTTTCCTAATCGTCACATTTCTAATACCTGGTGGTAAAACAAAGTTACATTTTTTTAAATAGTCCTTTCAAAGACAAATTCGATGATATATATGAGTATGGGCCTGTGATGCACCGTTTCGAACTTATTGATTATTGACTTTTTCAACTTTTTTTCCAACTATTTTTTTTTCTTTAGGCAATTATCAAATTGAAAATATTTTCTTAAAGTACGCGGTGTTGCCGCGTTCCGCAAAATGATACGTTTCCCAATTTTCTTAAATGAGACACCCTGTATATTATTCGATTTTCGAATAGCCAGTCTAATAGCAATTTAAATTATTTTATAACATAGAACTTTTAAGAAATATTGTTATTAATAATGTAGAACATATGTCTTTAAAAAATATATAGAAACCTGCCGGTAGAAAGATCTTTTTGGGCCTATACAGGCAGTACAACATAATTCCAAAAAAGGAACGTCAACGTCGCACTGTGGGCCCCATGCATAAACTAGGTTGGAATAAATCATTATTAAAAATGCAAAATTTGTCAATGTTGTTAAATTAAGAACATACTGAAACATGTAAAAACAGTATTGCTCTCTAAAAATACTTTACCAAGAATTTTTTATAAATATCAGATGTTTAAAAGAAAGTCTATTTTTATTCCGATCGCTTCATTAAATTAGTTTTCGTATTTTTTAAATGGCTGAGTAGACCTTGAAAACAAAGGCCGCTTTATATTATTAAACATTGTGTTGTGCCTATTGGGCAGCTCTCTGAGGATTCCCAAGAGGCACGTCACAAAGATTGTCGGCGATATCGCGAGCATCACACCCAAAAAAAAATCGCGCATTACCACGAATAAAGACTTGATGCGAATGTTATTAGTGTCCACTGACCCCGTTATAGCCAGTTACCAGCAAAAAACTGTAAGACCAAAAAAACCACATCACCTGATATATTGGCTCTACTTAAAGGCCCAGAGCTTCGATGCCTTACAAAAAATAACTATTTTTCGGAGACCTCCGAATATGACTTTGAGTGTATGGGTAGTGAGTCTGACATGTCATGACAGCGAGAATGACTAAAATTATAATTTACCTAGTGGGTTTTAGGGTTAAAAAAAATTCTAAGGCTTTTTCTTATCCTTTAAGTTTTTTGTGTTTAGTATGATCTCTTGCTCGCTGTGTTGATTTAATAAGATAGTTATATTTTCAATAAGTTAATTTAATTTAGATAAATAGTTCATATATTTGGAATTTGTTAACTAGTATGTTTTCTATTTCCTTAAATACAGTTAAATTATTTCACGTGACTGCAGAAGCTTTGTGAATAAAACTGTGCAGTAATTGCAAAATGTTTCCAATTTTTTTTATTCTAGTTTCGGTATATCTTTAAAATATACCCCGAAAAATACTAATGTGGCAACGCTGGAAAATTGAAAAAAATTGTATTATTATTTACCGGCAATTTATAGCCCCAAATAATAATTTTCTTAAAGGTATTTAAGTTACTAGAAAATAATCGAATTAATGCAACCCAGTTTGGGCAATGGGCCCACAGTGCGTCGTATCAAAATTAAATTGCCGTATTACCCCGCAGCGCATGTAACAATAGTTAGATATCTACCGAATCCGTTGTTCTAAAACACTTAACATAGTAACGGCATCGTTAGTAATTATTAACTTTCACTTTTTTACCCGATGACAGCACGAAAGTAAACTCTTGCCGCGATGTAAATATGTGTTCTCAACCTTGTAACCGTTCAATGTCCTTGAGAGTCGAAACTTACCGCCGCGGATTGGTTTACGTTAACTGTTTTTACGTCCATACGTTTCGCAAGCTATCTTAACCGGCGATAGAAAAACGGAGCCTCGCCCTGCAAACCGCTTTGTTTGATTCGTTGGCCTACAATGTTGCATAATTAGGAATAGACGACCATACATGGAGCCTATTAAAACAATAACGCCAACCAGAGCATCACCTAAGTCACAGACTGTAGAGTTTGACTCTCCATTCCATCATAACCTTAAAATAATCAATCTGCAGGAATCACGTTTTATGATAGAAAGGGCAATTTTGCGGCGCATAGTAGGCTTATGTTGCGGTTATGTATGTATTAACTCTCACTTATAAAATCAGCTGAGCGCCCGTAGAAAGTGCGGAATTATTACCCGGCGTTCAAAAAAATTGCGGTTTGTCTTTTTGCCCGCGCGTTTTCCAGCTGCTAGTGAGAATCGTCGACATTGTCCATTGTCTCTTTTATTTTTTGTCATGGTTTGTCGCCGAAAGGCTTTTAAATCCTCTAGTAGGCCGTGCTCGACTGGCCACGAAAAAACTGTTAAAAATAGGAAGAAATTGTTTATCGCGTTAACGATGTTTTGTTTAGTTTATGTTGTCTGAGGCTTTTTAGGTCAAGATAATGTCGGCGCAGGTCATAGAGAAAACTAATAAATAAAGAGAGATTCCCAAGTAAATATCCGATCCCTATTCACCAGCGTCACCCTGAGCTACAGGACAAAATAATTGGCTGGCATGAGGTGGCGGGAAATTTGAATGGGGACAGTTATTTTACAATTACAGGGAAAAGTAATAGAAATCCGACGCTTCCTAATTAAACTGGCTCTAACAGTAATACATATATATTAATCCATTTTTGAATTTCTCGGAACTTGCTAGATGTAATGACATATTTGTAATTTTATGCTAAATGTGATGTTTGTATGTCTAAATATATCTGTCAATAACTTCTATTAGAAGCGTTTGTTGTACAGGATGTTACAAAACAAAAAATCTTAAATATCAAGATAGAACAAGAACATATTACGATAATATTAACGTTATAAAAACAAGGAATTCACCATTATTGAATTAAAACTCTTATTATTAAACAATTTAAGGATAATAAATATTTGATTAAATTATTCGTATTTTGTATTCAAGCTAACTGAGCATTTTCAGATACAGAAATAATAAGAAACGCCTTGAG